ATCAGTCCACGTTTGCTAGTGGATTGCCGACCAGCTTTTCTAAATATAGGCCAAAATTTTGAGAGGATGTGCAGCCCCATCATGGCTAAAAGGAGCTTCGATTTGTTACAAAGCTTACCTATTTTCCTTTTTTCAACCCTGTCAAACAGAGTTAATGCAGTTACCTAGATACTGGAATATAAACATTTACCAATCTGGATGAGGCAAGATGGAAAAATGCTCGCGCTTACCTCTCCAATTCATTATGATGTTTGGTAATAACATTGGGATATTGTGATGTTACTGTCTAATACAGAGTTTAAAGTAGATATGAATTTGGCAAATGCCATTTTCCATACATATATAAACATATATATATATATGTATTTTTTTACCACATACATTCTAACATTTCCGAATAGAGGAGGGGCAAAAACATGCTTTTACTTTTGAAATCCCCAAGGTGCAAATTTGGCATATATTTATCTATTTTACATCAAACGTGTATCACTTATAGTCGTAAAAGTGGGACACTAATTGTAAGGCCACTTGATGGGAACGAAAGCCACCAGACACTTCAGATGTACAACCGCCCAGTGCCCAGATGCAGGTTGGTGCCACAAGCAGTGTGATTGAAACTAACCGCATAACATCATTGTCAAAGGAGCTGATACTCGTGGCAACAGTGCGATTCTAAACAAGTGTGGGCACTACATCTTTTCTTCTTCATTCGGCAAAATAAACGGTTAATTGAAGTTATAAGCTTGGTACAGCGGTTATGAGGCTAAATTAGAGTCTCTGCATGTCTGGTCAGAAAGTAATCAAAGCTCGACGTAGTACGGATTTCGATCAGGCGAAGAGGACAGCTATGCGGACAGCTTTGGAAGTATGCTGGATTGAGGATGGAATAGGGGTTGGTATTGCTGATTCTATTAGTACTGGCCAGACAAAAATAAGAATTATTGGTGAACACTTTCGGAGGTTCTTTACGGGTTTATAAATGCACCAGTCTGGCTCGAGGACGATTTTGATCAAATGGTTCAGCATCATCAATTCTGGGCAATGACTTTTGAATTTACCAACCAATTGATGGGTCGTAAAAATACTACACTAATGCTTGAGTAACTGAACATCCAACAAAGTATTTGGTTTGTCAGATGCTAAAATGACCAAATCAGCATTGCTTTTGAATCGAATGTGGAAAACGCATGTAGCGCATTTTGAAAGGCTACATGCTTTACCACATTTGATGACGATGGTAAGGGCTTCTTATACTAAATTGCAATTTGCTCGGATAAAAGCTTATCGCACATATTTTTGAATGCGACCCTTGCTATATATTCTGAATTTTGCGATTAGAGCATTATTTAGGCTCACAGTGTGCCTCACCGTTCAAAAGTCATCACTGGTCAATTATTAGGAAGTACCTTCACGTTGCACCATTGCGTTGACCTCTCTTGCGGTAATCAAGAAGGCCATTTCTCTGACATCCACCTTACCCATTGGTTATCTGATCAGTGTTACCAATAATTTGTAGACAACACGCCGTTTATTGCTATAGCCAATAAGTAACGAAGTGGCATTGTTTTGACATGCACTTAAAATTGCAGATAGTGGCGATTTAGGCCATCTCATTGCACTTTGATCTGCAACTCAGCCTAATCTGCAGAATTTTAATTTTTTTGTATTTTAAGTCCGTAGTAGGGGTGTGGGTGCCTGTAAAACCTGCATTCATTGCGGCTTCTAAATTAAGCTTCGGTGTACATATTTTTTTGCATCCCATTCTATTCAACAAGCAGACCAGAGCAATCTTCTGTCAAGTTCGTTAACCTACAGTAGATTCGGAGCATTGGATTTTGCAGTGGATCGTGCAGCACCGCTTCAAGAACACTGAGTAGGTGTGATGTCAACATTACTGGGAAACCGACACTTACCTTATCTGGTCTTCTGTCTCCACCGACGCCTACCCGCCCGACTCTGTGTTCCCTATTTACAAGTGCCTTAACTGTTAATAGGCAAAACAATCATTTCTATGTATATGCTATATTGCTATTGCGAACTTCGACTCTTTGCAACCATGTCTTTCGTGGTTCATACGACTCAAATCACGACATAAATTGGCAGCATCAAACAGGTGAAGGCAATGGAGAAAAATTGTGGCTTAGAGACAGGTAAAAGTGAAGTGCACTCAAGTACACCAATTATTGTTCTTTCTTTTTAAAGGTTTTTTGCCACACCCAACTCAAATGAATCCACCCTAGGTCTGAAGAAA